CTCCTTCTGTGGCAAGGCGGGGAATTGTCTTTTGCTTGAGACGTCTGCATATCTGACTCCAGGTCTGACTGTCGCACGTCTGATTCTCTCTTCTTGTTTAGTCTGTTTGGCTTTCGCTTGTTCCATTTGTTTGGATATCATTTTTTTGAAATATCGGGCAGGTAGCGTTGTTCGCGCTGTGTCCTTCTTTCTTACAGTTTTTGCAGACCATCGTCGTAGTGCCCTCGGGTGTATTGATTTTGATCTGTGATTCTTCTTGTCTGCCGTAGCAAGACTGTTTCGAGTGGTCAAATGCATAGCATTTCTTGCATTGCACTATGTGTCTCGGGTTTTCTCTGAATGGCTCTACCTTTATGCAAGGGGCGCAGAAGAACTTCCTGTCAGCGGTTTTGCATGCTTCCAGGACGACAAAAATCAAGAGGTGTATTTTACCTGCTTTTCCTAGCGGTTTTATTGATATCGGTTTAATGCCAATGCATTCCGCTATCTCTTCTGCGATTATGTCAGTGTCCTCACCGTATGTTTCATTTTTCAGCACCACTTTTGTCGCTGGTTGTCTGTCAGCTTTCGGTTTTGGTGCTATTATTCTTGATGGTTCGCACACTTGGATTTTCGTGAGAATGTCTTCCCGGGCTGCTGAGCTCCCCGGGTTGATTTTTATTTGTCCGTTCGTCACTCTAAGCGTTGAATTATTTGTTGATGTCGCCTCTCTTATAAATCTGAGGGCGCGTTGGTCGTTCATTATTTTTTTCATCCCTAATTATTATATCAGGGATATGTGTGTTTTTCTGTGTGGGCGTCACGAACTTATCTGTTCCGGTGCGTTGTCTTTTTATTCCTCTATTTTCGTTTTGTAGCGTTTGAAATCTGTTTGCTAACGGTATATTATAGATTGTTTCCGAGTTGGCCTCGGCTTGCCTGTCCGCGCGCTGGGTGTTACATGTGGCGGCCAAACTTTGGGTTGTTTCGGTCGCGCAGGTACGCGCCGTGGTCGTGTGGCTTTGGGCGATGGTGTCGTTTCTTTTGTTCACTAGCGTAGACGCTCGCACGCTGTGTCGTTCCCCCTGAGGTGAGGCGGGGGCGGTCCGGGCGGCGAGCGGCTTGCATGTGCCGTTCGTCGGCTCTAACCTCGTTCGTTGCACGTGCACTGGCTCTTGCAAGCCAACGCTCTTACGATTTCTTTTTTCTTGCCTCTTTGGGTGGTTAGAGACGGGCTTGAATCCTCTGCCGTGGTTTTTATAAGGGCGCATTGATTTTTGCCGCACTTACAGATGAACCATTCCTCCGATGTAAATGCGTCTATCGGTAGGGTGATCAATTCTCTCTTTGTTTTACAGTCCACGCACGCACGAAAGTTGCTTACTCCGGTTTTTTAGCGAGGCTGTGTATATTGTTATGGTAGTTTCGATTTTTAGTGTTTCTTTTTCGAATTTGGGCACTATAGTAGTGGCCGCCTTTATGAGAAAGCTTTCCATGCGTACATTACATTGGATTTTCCTCGTGTTCATTTGATTGGTACCCCACAGGGGGGCGTCCGTTTGGAAGTATTGTTCGCATTCCCAGCACTGTATTATATTTTTATTGAACTCATTGAGGTCCATTTTCACTTTTTTCACTTTGTCTTTCACTTGTTTACTGTCCTTGTCTAGACTAAGTAGATCCGTGTCCATATCATTAGATTTGTGTGAACTTTCACTGTTGTTTTTCGAGAGCATGTTTCCTATTACTCTTGATTCACTAATTCTGTTGGGTGTTGCCTGTCTCACTTCTTCTGGTGAATCCCAGGGGGTGCTCCCCCCGGGGTCCTCACAGTTCATGATTTTTCACTTTCTATTCACTTCAAGTCTCGTTCCAATGTGGATTGTTTTAAGAACCGCACAAAATTTCAAGATACCACACGCAGTGCGTGGGTCGTCTCTCGGGAGCTTTCCGCTGCGCGCGTCCGTTCGCTACGGCGGTCCGCGCGAGTCTTGGAAAATCTACACTCGAATACTCGTTGCCTGGCGCGCATTTACTTGAATGTTTGGGACGCTTCTTTGCTAATTATATAAATAGGCGCTGCAAGATGCGATCGGAGCAGTATTGGAATTGGCGACACAAGCGAAGCTTCGGAGCGGAATAAAGTGAATTAGTGTGTTTAATTATTAGTGTTTTAAGTTTTAATTTGTGTAAAGTAAATTAAAGTGTTAATTTAGGTAATTTTATCGGCAATTTTTATTGTCACGAACCTCAAGCTCGTAACAATTGGTGTCAGAAGTGGGATAAAATCATGCCGATTTTACCTAAGGAGGAAACGGAGGGTGTCCGTACCCGCAGTCAACGCCAGTATGAGACGGACCAGCGGAGATTTGGTGGTGCAACGGCGCAGACGTCGGAGGGCCAACTGCCAGCCACGGAGGCTGCGGGCCCGTCATTAGCTCCTACATCTGCAGCACCTGACTTAGGTGCTCTGATGGCGATGCTACAGGAGCAGCTGCAGCGCGGACGAGAGGAACAGGCCCGCCGACAGGAGGAACAGGTCCGTCGTTTGGAAGAGCAGCTGCGAGGCGGACAGGAGGAACAGGCCCGCCGGCAGGAGGAACAGGCCCGTCGCTTAGAAGAGCAGCTCAAACGCGATAGGGAAGAGCAGATGCTTCTCATGAAGGACCTTCACGCTACCTTCGGGAAAGAGATAAGGGAGGTGAAGGATAAGGTTGCTCAACATGATAACCGCCTGTCGGAAGCTGAGACCCAAATCAACCAAGTTAAGAAAACGCTGGATGATCTCCAAGCTTGAGTAGCTTGGAGATGGAATTGCAGCTCCCGTAGTAGCTACTACACCTTCGCTACGTGGGTTCAAGGTGCCACCATTCGACGGGACTTCTTCCTGGTCAGCCTACAAAATCCAGTTCGAAGCTGTTATGAAGGCGAACGGCTGGAATAAAAATCAGGCCATGACTGCTCTCACACTAGGCCTGCGCGACCAGGCCTTAACAGTTCTGGAAGCTCTCGGTGAGGAAGTGACTTATGAGCAACTCCTTGAGGCATTGGAGGCGAGATATGGCGACGCTCACCTGGAACACGTCTTTCGTGCGCAGCTTAAAGATCGCGTGCAGCGCATCAACGAAAACCTGCAGCAGTGGGCTCTAGAGGTGGAGAAGCTGGTGCGAAAAGCATACCGGTCTGTACCTGCGCTCATTGAAGGGAACCTGGTGCAGACATTCATCGACGGCATCCGCGACCTTGAAGTCAGAGCTGCTGTGAGACTCGGGCACCACGGCACGCTTAAGGACGCCTTGGCCCATGCACTGGAGGTGGAAGCCGTGCGGCGGGATCATCGTTCCCATCGCATCAGGGAGGTTGCAGCAGCTACAGTACGCGACCGCAACAAAGGATACAGCCCTAGGTGCTATGGCTGTGGGGAAAAGGGCCATCTTCGATTCAGCTGCCCTAAGCGAACCCTAAAAAGGGAAAGTGAACGATATCAGGAGGGTAGTGCAGCTAACGGCACTGCCTGGCGGCGACAGGATCGTCGTTCACCTCACGCTAGGGAGATTGCAGCAGTTACGGTTTGCGACCACAATAGAAGATACAGCCCTAGGTGCTATGGCTGTGGGGAAAGTGGCCATCTTCGGTCCAGCTGCCCGAAGCACACCCTAGGAAGGGAAGGTGAACGGTCTCAGAAAGGAAGTGCGGCTAACAGCACCGCCCAGCAGCAGCAGGAATACGACTTTACTATCAGACACTGCAGCGGGAAATCTCACGGCAACACAGATGCATTGTCAAGAAGACCTTGTCCTGAAGATGGCAACCATTGTAGTAGGCAAGGTAAGGAAGCGGTATCCGTGAGGATGCTCAGAACAGACCACCTCAGCAATGGGTGGAAGGACAGCCTACGACATGCACAGCAGGAAGATACGGACATCAAGCCGATTCTGGGATGGATGAAGGCCCGTGCTACCAAGCCTAAGTGGAAGGACGTCTCAGCGATGAGTTCAACCACGAAAAGCTATTGGGCCCAATGGGACAGCTTGCTGCTTCAGGATGGTCCTGTGCTGTAAATGGGACAATGGTCGAGGAGACAGCTGTCGTCTGCAAATGGTCGTCCCTAAAGCTAAAGTGCCGAATGTTCTACAACTGTGCCATAATGGTCGTTCAAGAGTCCATCTGGGAGTTAAACGAACTCTACTGAAGGTCCGAGAACAGTTTTACTGGGTCCATTATCGTGACGATGTCGAGGATTGGTGTCGTACATGTACAAGTTGTGCGGCTGTGAGGGGACCTCAGACATGGAGTAGAGGAGCATCGAAATTGTACAATGTTGGTGCACCACGGGATAGGACATCCCTTGACATTGCGGAGCCATTACAGAAAGGCGCAAGAGGGACTCCTAAGATCGTCCATGTGGATCGCCTAGCGCGTTATTATGGGACCGATAATGCTCGGGACGAGCATGTCTTAGGAGGGGGCAGTGTTACGCGCTAAAATCGGCACACTAGCGCCATCTAGTGTCAGGAACGAGAGCGAGGGGAGCGTTGCAGAAAATGACATCACAAATGTTTCGACCGACAGCGCCACCCGAAGAACTAAGTTTCTGGAAAATCTACACTCGAATACTCGTTGCCTGGCGCGCATTTACTTGAATGTTCGGAACGCTTCTTTGCTAATTATATAAATAGGCGCTGCAAGATGCGATCGGGGTAGTATTGGAATTGGCGACACAAGCGAAGCTTCGGAGCGGAATAAAGTGAATTAGTGTGTTTAATTATTAGTGTTTTAAGTTTTAATTTGTGTAAAGTAAATTAAAGTGTTAATTTAGGTAATTTTATCGGCAATTTTTATTGTCACGAACCTCAAGCTCGTAACAATATAAACCTTCTTCTTGAATAATTCTGTGTGTAATTGATGCAAAGCGCATCATAATCCTAATGCGTAGTTTAAAAGATCTAAACTTACAGACGGTGGGAAGTGACTTTGTTTATACAATGTAGAGAAGATAATTGATAAAACATTTGGGGCAGATGTGGAGCGTGCTGGGTGCAGGGGGCGGCGAGCTGAGTGACGGGCAGGCGGGCGGCGCGTGGGCGTCGGACGCCCTGTACGTGTCGCGGCGCCTGGCGCGCTGCGAGCCCGCGCTGCGCGCGTGCGCGCTTACACCTCACGCGCACGCACTCATCGTCGGCCCGCACGCTTGCGCTAAAAAGTAACTAATTAAAACTCATCCTCCTAATTATTTTACGTAATCTTTTTATTAACCGCTAAAAACGCTAAAACCGCGTTCTTTCCCGCGTGAAACGATATTCGCGCGGGAAAGAACGCGAATGTAAATATATAAAAGGCGAACGAAAATGCACACACTACCATCGCGAGTGAAAGAACGTATCGCGTGTAAAAGCGGCTATTCTTTTAAACACAAAACTTTCACTTTTGAATACAGAAAATTTTACTTTCCTTTTCCTTTATGTGCTTAAGTGAATTATGTTTACCTACTTGCTTTGATATTATATCAAAATCTATTTGTCATCTTCTCGCATAAATCTTGTGTCGGTAGTAAGGAATATTTTAAAACTCCTCGCATATCTCGACTGAGTCTTAGTTACCAATGGACACTTCTTACATCGTCTTTGGTGGTATAATTCATCACGCGGAGCCACCTGGAAATGAAGCCTATCTTTAGAATATAATAGTACATACTTAATACTTTATTTTACTTTCAGTATTTTGGCAGAGCACGTCTTAAAGGAATCTAATTCGACAGTGATAACGATAGATTGCACTCCTACCTTGGAACCAGCAGATATTATTGCTGAATTAAAAAGGGTATGTAGTAAATTTATATATTTAATATATTAGTACGTGGAGCAAAACTTTGTACCCTTTTTAAATCATAATACGCTCACGGAGTAGTGTGTGATTGGGTATAGTTAAAATTAATATGCAGGAGTGCAGAAAAGTAAAATTTATATATACTACGTATTACAAATACATTAAATGTAATTAAATAAAACTTACATTGTTTACGTTCATACTGTCAATTTCAAACACTTAAATGTCGCTTGGGAAAATTATGCCGTTTGCTCGCGTTCAACTTCTTTTTTACAGAATAAGCGTGACAAATGAGTACACAGTTGACCTGATGATAAGTGGATTCTGTGACCTATAGACATCTACATCTATCTTTTAATTAAGAATTAAATTGCAGATACGTTGTCTACCCTAAAGACCGATATCGAATGCCTCGTTTCCAGTTAAAAGGGTATCCAGTTCTCTACGCTTACCATACGAAGCTGCTATATTACGCTGGTATTCTTTGATAGCGTAGATCTCGGTCGAGCCGATCCATTCTTGTTTCAACCATAATAAAGCTGCAGCGTGATTTTACCACATAAAACGTATCAATGTTATGAATTCATGGAAATTGAATTTACAATAATCACAAATACGTGAAATCATGCTAATTCTAACCTCACTCTTATAAAGATTGCCACTATCTATAACACATCTTACGAAATGCAAAGGTGCGTCCATGCGAAGCAATGCACTAACCTTATTCAACTTCGTAATATTCCTTAATTTTTGGGTTTCGCAGTTATATTTTTACTATCGTAAGATTTTTTTAATAGAACCAGGGTGATAAATAGCCCACCTAATAGTAAGTGAATGCTGTGGCAGATTTTCACAAAAAATGATTTTCAACAAAAATGATTGGAAAATCAGTACTTAAAGTCCTTCAGAATCTCTTTAATTCCGTCCAGTACTCTGGAGACGTATAGCAAAAGTGCGGTAGTCTTATTCTTTAAGAAAGACGAAAAAGCTCTCGTGAAGGACTACCGACCGATTTTCTTCTAAGTCGTGTCTTCGTGCTGTTTTCCAGCCTTCCGAAAAAACCGGTTTCTGGAATTGCTGTACCACTATAGACCAACCTCTGACAAATTGTAGAGAAGACCAAATAGTACAATCTGCCAATTTGTCTTGCGTATGAGGACAATGAGAAAGCCTTTGATTCCGTCGAAGTTTGGGCGATGCTACAGTCGCTTCAGTGGTGCCAAATTTGCTGTCGGAATATCTAAGTGTTGAAGTGTTTGACAAGTAGGGTGGCAATCCGAGTGCAGAACCAGAGAACGAAACCTATCCAACTGCAGAGAGGTGTTAGACTTCGTGACGTTATATCTCCGAAACTTTTCACCGATGCACTGGATGACGTTTTTCAAGATACTAGACTGGACAGTACTAGACGGTATTAACATCAAAGGCGAGCACATCACTCACCTTTGATTCGCCGACGACATAGTTCTTATGGTAGAATCGCTGGAGGACTTTTTCTCTGTATTCAAAAGTTAAACTTGCGACTTGCAAGGTCATTCGTCGGGAATCGCGATGCTTGGCTCGGAAGAAACGACAAATAAACCTGAAATACGATTCCTAACATAAATTTGATTGTATTCTAGACAAGTATAGGTATGTAAGTAAGTATAGGTATGTAAGTTCGATAGTGGAGTAAATTACAACTAAGTTTTGTAATAAAGTACGTAGGTAGTACTCCTGTAGATAAATTATTAATTAATTCTTTTTTTACTAAAAGTATCTAAAAATGAAATAAATTCACCTTTCATAACTTCCTACTAAAATCCTTTGGTAACATAAAAAACGATATATCTGAAACCTTTTGTAGGTCATTTGGCATCTATCCACGCACAGTTATATTAGGAACGGCTTTTTGCCATTACAATTTATCAAATAGGTAAATACATAATATATATAATTTTTAAATTACATTAAAAAATTTCAACTCCAAACAACTAAACTATAACTATTTCGACAAATATTTACAAAAAACTATTTACGTAAACAGCGTTAAAAAACTTTAACATTCAATCGCCTACAACGCTCTAGCCCCGACTGCGTATGTTATCCCGGGTGACTCGCGATTGTAGATATTTATTTAACGCAGGCAGAAAGAGTGACAGAGGGCTGCCATATTTTAAACTCGAGACTATCAATAAAGCACGTTTTGTAATAAGACTGAACAAGTTTTGTAACTGACGTGATATAACAGAGCAATGCAGCGAGTGCGGGTGGGCGGGCTGCCGGCGGGGCGCAGAGCGTGACGCTGCTGGTGCGCGCGCTGCACCGCGGCCGCCGCGACGCCTGGAGCTCCTGTGCGCTGCACGCCGCGCTGCTGCAGGTACCTAGTGAGTGATGCAGCGGGTGCGCGCGGGGCGGGCGGGCGCAGCGTGTGACGCTGCTGGTGCGCGCGCTGCACCGCGGCCGCCGCGACGCCTGGAGCTCCTGTGCGCTGCACGCCGCGCTGCTGCAGGTACCTAGTGAGTGATGCAGCGGGTGCGCGCGGGGCGGGCGGGCGCAGCGTGTGACGCTGCTCGTGCGCGCGCTGCACTGCGGTTGCCGCGACGCCTGGAGCTCCTGTGCGCTGCACGCCGCGCTGCTGCAGGTACGTAGTGAGTGATGCAGCGGGTGCACGCGGGGCGGGCGGGCGCAGCGTGTGACGCTGCTGGTGCGCGCGCTGCACTGCGGTTGCCGCGACGCCTGGAGCTCCTGTGCGCTGCACGCCGCGCTGCTGCAGGTACCTAGTGAGTGATGCAGCGGGTGCGCGCGGGGCGGGCGGATGCAGCGTATGACGGTGCTGCTGCGCGCGCTGCACCGCTGCCACCGCGGCCGTACTGGTGATATATTAAAGATGGGACAAATTAAGAGTACTCTTAACCAACGATCGAATACGCGTGAAAGAAGCGTGGAAGAGTTCGGGGTCCGGGTTTCTAGTTTATAATCTAATTGATGATCTATGCCTACCCCACTGGGTAACCGTTGACAGTTTATAATTTGATATGCCTTTCATGTTAATATTGATACATTTTGGAGAGTATCACTAGTTCTTTTTAAGTTATTTTTCGCTGTTTTTTTAATGTGCAATGTATTATTTAATGTTAACTATTATATTTACAGAGTACTCTGTGTCACTATATTATTTACTTATGTATATTGCCCATGTTTAACTTTAATGATATTTGTGACAAATTAATAAAAACAGCAAGAAACAATCAAAAAAGAAGTAGGTATATTTAAAATGTTTAAATAACACAACGAATATCCTCCACACGCAGCTCGTACAGCAGGGTGGGTTCTGGTCGCAAGAAGAAGGCAGCGTGCAGTGGAATCACACGATACGGCCGCGTATAATAGCCACGGCCGATGCTGGCACCGCATCACTGTTATCGCCGCGTCTTGCCGCGCTATTGCCGCCGATTATTTTGAGGTATTTGCATTTTGTATCACATAGTCCAAATATACAAAACCAAGCCATTGTCAGTCGTTGTCCTGATAGACTCTACATGCCACTACATACGCGTACTACAAACACTAATAAACAATTGTTGTAATACTATTTTGCATCTACACACTACGTGTAAAAATACCGACTTCAGTAGATTGTTTTATTCTTTTTCGTCTTTAAAAATCGGCTTTTTCTTATAATTACAAGCTTAATTTTCTATATGGTATTTTCATTTTTTCCAGTGAACCTGATGATGAAGAACTTATAGAAGTGGCCAAGAAAAGCTTATTAGAAAACACGGCTAAAAATATATCTGAGCATGACGTTTCTAAATTAACTTTTAGCATGTTGTCGATGTATAAAGAGGTAACTCATTTTTCGTTACAATGCTTTAATTAATAATTGTATTATATAGCTCTAACCTGTAAAAACTACATATCATCACCTGTAGTTTTAATTAGTTCCGGTGGATATCGAAATAAATAATCGAATACGAACCTATTGAAATAAAGAATGAATGAGGAAAGGGTGACAAAGCAAATTTATGTTGCAAAAGTGAATGGAAGAGTCGGAAAGAACGTCCTAGGCAAAAGTTTTTCAACCAAATTGGTGATATATTAATAGGCCAAATTAGGAGTACCCTTAACCGACGAGCATGTATGCGTAGGTATATGAATGTGGAGGAGGCGAGAGAGGTGTGTCAGGATCGTGCCATATGGAAGTTTGTAGTCTCTGCCTACCCCTCTGGGTGATAGGCGTGAGTGTTTATGTATTATGTATGTATATGTATATCGAACTCGTTTTATTCCCATACTATGGAATTTATATCGAGTGCCTATTTCTGTAAGTCACTGCGGCTCTAAAAATAGAACCATGAAAATTGCAAATACTTTCAGGTAACTGAAACCTTTACTTCTCAACCACTCTACAAATGGAATGCGTCGCACTTGAAGCGTTGGTGTGACGGCATTAAATGGCACGCACCTGCCACAGCTGCTGATTTAGATAAGGTAAGCATATAATATTACCGCTGTACCATATATTATAACAACTTAGATGAGACACTTTTATTGACTAGACTTAGACTTTGTTAGCTTTTTTTTATAGAATAGGGTAACAAACGAGCATAGTCCAACTGATGGTAAGTGGATTCAGTGGCCCATACAAACACCTACATGTATCCTCGATTAAGAATCAAATGCAAATGCGTTGTCACCGTGAGGAATAAGATGAAATGCCTCGTTTCCAGTAAAAAGAGTCTCTGGTTCTCTACACTCACCATACGAAACACAGCAGCATAGAGTTGTTATTTTACGCTGATATTATGTGAGAGCGTGGTCCTATCCCGGTTGTGCCGACCCATTCGTGTTACAACTATAGTAATAGCTGAAACCTTCTTGATACACGCTGCGCTAGGTGCACGATAATAGGCGATAATAACGTAATATAAAATATCAAGAAAAAAATGTTTATGGATACCATCCTATAATCCGTTTTTAGTGAGCGTTTACATTGCGAAATGAATAACCATACTAAATTTCAAGTTAATCGGGTGTATAGTTTTAGAGATATCGTGATGAGTCAGTCAGTGGTGCTGACGGGATCCCCCCATTGTGCTGAGAGCGTGTACTTCAGAGTTGGCACCGGTTCTAAAGCGTTTTTTCCGATACTAGTACTCCCTTGGCATAGTCCCAAAATCATGAAAGACAGCGTTCGTGCACCCGATTCCTAAAAAATTAACCTCTCTGATGTGTCCAAGTACATGCCTATCGCCATCACTTCCTTTCTCTCTAAAACTAACCTCTCGGATGTGTCCAAGTACATGCCTATCGCCATCACTTCCTTTCTCTCTAAAATTAACCTCTCGGATGTGTCCAAGTACATGCCTATCGCCATCACTTCCTTTCTCTCTAAATTAACCTCTCGGATGTGTCCAAGTACATGCCTATCGCCATCACTTCCTTTTTTAATTAACCTCTGGATGTGTCCAAGTACATGCCTATCGGCATCACTTCCTTCTCTAAAATAATGGCGTCTATTATTAACAGCCTGGCTGCCAGTACGGTTTCCGTCGGGGTCGCTCAGCTGGTGATCTTCTTGTTTATCTAACACACCGATGGGCGCAGGCGATCGAGTTAGTTTGGACATAGCGGAGCCCTTCAATCGTATTAGTACGAAGCGCTTTTCTTGAATCCTAGGGGCTTCTCGAGAAATTTTATGTGAGATAATCTGAAAGTTAGCAAACATAAATCACTACGCGGTGAAGTAAAGTTATGAAATAATATTAGTTTTAGTAAAATGATATGCTATTGTGACCGAAATTATTAATGAATAAAAACATTTATCATTCAATGCTATTGTTCATGATAATAAAAGAGAATCATTTATTATATTCAAAGTAATTAAAATAAGTTTAGTAAACCGGATAATGTACCATTATTATTATTTATAACTTTTAAAATGGAACAAAATGAACACATTTAGATTTTTAAATTTTAATAAACAATAAAAAATTTGTAAATAAGATGTAAATCGAAATGTACATTATAGAATGAAGAAAACCATTCGGCATCCATAACGGAAGTAGATTTCTAATATAAAATTTCGACTTGCAAAATATTACGTAAGAATGGGTTTTACCCCCCTCCCCCCAAAATAAGGGCATTTAGAGATTTTTACCCTCCCCCTCGGGATCCTTACGTAATAAATAAATGACTCCTAAGCCCTCCACCGGGAGGCAAAGCTAAAATTTAATTTGTGGTGTTTAGCCGGGCGACCAGCTAGTGGTCGGATTTTTAATTATTTCGGAAGCAATCAGATATTTCAAAGCATAACTAAAACTGTGCCAGGACAGGCAAGAGCAACTTAAAAAACATAAATAACATAAGGTCGTGGCTGTGGATGCCGTTGGTGCTTGTGAACATAGAAGCAATCACCATCAGTCACTTTTAAATTCCATGTATGGGGAGATGAGCGATAGTAAAACCATCATGAAGCAACGTGATGTTAAGATACTTGCTTAAAAGGTGGTTCAGATTATTGAGAGAGTGCAGGATGTGATGTCCCAGGGTCACGATGGTCTCCGTATTCAACATTTCAAATATGCAGGAATCCATATACCACGAGTTCTCTTCATGATTTTTACCCAGTGTGTATAGGTCACTTTTATTTACCCGAAAGGCTGATGCGGACAATAGCGGTACCGATTATAAAAAAGGCAGGTGGTGCATCTGATATTTGTTACTACCGGCTTATGTCACTTGCTACCACCGCGGAGAAAGTATTTGACAGTTTGTTAAATGGTTGTCTCAGAAAACATATCAATGTGCATGTCGCCCAGTTCACATTCGGGATTCAGGGCAAGATTGTCGACGGAAAGTGCAATTCTTACATTAAAGCTTAGTGCCAGGTATTACACGGCAAGGGGACGCCGGTATTCGCGTGTTTCTTCAACTTGTCCAAGGCTTTTGAATTGGTCACATACGGTCACGACGGATTACACTTCTTTGATCAAATGCTGATAAAATAATAAAAAACCGAGGTGACATATTCATCTGGTAGCGTACCTGCCCGGTACGCTATCAGATTAATGCATTAAAATGTGGTGTCAGACAGGGCGGTTTAAGCTCACCCTAGTTATTTAATTTATATATTAACCAGCTTATCGTTGAACTGGCCAGCACAGATCTTGTAATATTGACGAGATATGTGTTAATAATATAACCTTTGGGTTAAGGTTGTTGTCGATTCGCGAGAAACCACGGCCACGGCCGGAGGACCACGGCTTGAAGTGCAACTCAAAAAAAGAGTAAACTTTTTGTTATTACAGCATCTGATCAGCGGCCGCGTCGTGTTCCACACGTACACCTCAATAGTATAGCCCTAAATAATGTTGATACTTTGAAGTATCTTGATACAATTATAACGAGCGATGGAGCGATGATTGTGATATAGAGAGGGAGCTTAGAGCGCTAGTGATAAGGAGCAATACGTTTGCCTGCACGTTTGCTCGATGCACTAATGACGTAAAAGTCTCTTTTTTTCAAAACATTGGGTAAATCTTTTTACTCGAGCGACCTGTGGGTATCATACAGGCGCCGAGCTTACAGCGCCCTTCGCATTCAATACAATAACACATTTAGGATGCTGTTGGGACTGCCATAGCACTGTAGTGGTTTGAAAATGTCGGCGAACATTTTAGAACCACTACAAGGCCATCGATGCTCCGGCTGATGACTTTCACGCTGTATATCCGAAAGAAATCAGCCTCAATGTTACAGCGTCTGTGAAACAGTAACAACAGCATTCTGAGAATGATTGCGGCGATGCCGGATTACCACTTTCAGTGACATTGGGTAGAGTTAGCAATCGAAATATAAATATTAATAACATAATCATAAAAATTGTTACTAATACACTTTTATTTGTTTTTTTAATATATATATATATATATATATATATATATATATATATATATATATATATATATATATATGAAATATAGTATATATAGTGTAAAAAATATGAAATATAGGATTGAAAGATGACCTTATCACAAAAATTGATAGGGGCGTACTCCAATGGTTTGGGCACGTTGAGCGAATGAGTGAAGACCGAATGGTGAAGAAAATATATAGCGCGAAAGTAAATATTAAAAGGTGTCGAGGTAGACCGAGACTAACTTTCGAACACCATGTGAGCAAATTGCTCGAAGAGGGGAAGGTCAAGAGTACTCGGATACCTAGACGTGCATGTATGAAGAAGTTAATGAACCTGAAAGAAGCGAAAGAGTTATGTAAGGATCGTGACACTTGGCGATCTGCTCTCTCTGGCTACCCCGTTAGGGATTGTGCGTGAAGATAAGTAAGTAAGTAAGTAAATATAGTTAATTTTTTTTTGTTTCAGTCGATAAAAGCAGAAGCGGACATGATCTTTAAGAATAGACTAGTGACAGATGAAGAAAAAGTTGAATATACTTCGATATCGAAACGACATTTAAACCATAGCGATAATTATGTTTTATTTTTTAAAACGATACTACGTAATGACGGCGTGTACATGCAGGCGGTTGATTACGACACGTGGTATCAGGACACACAGAAACTGATAAATCAGTGCGGTTAGTAAAATAATTAATACCTTCCTTTCACACGACTCAGCCACAATATATATGGTGAAGTATTAATATAAAATACGGAGAATTAGATAATTTTTATTTTGCTAATTCCAAAAAATGTAGGAATCTGTTGTTTTCTAACCGTGAATTTGCACTGACACGATTTTCATACAAAACATGTTTTAAACACTATTTTCTGTCAATGTCTCGAAAAGCGTTTACATAGTCAAAGAACATGTTGTAGTGAAATATGCTTGACAGTTTATTGTACATTAAATATTTTAACTATATTATATCTTTATGACTACAGAAACAAAATGTTTGAAACAAATTTGTAGAAATATTGTCATGTTGAAAGATAAGTTTGAATATCTGTTAAAAATTTTACACAGTTTTTGTGAGTGCGAACGCCACCATCAACAAAACATGTTGTATGATTTATTTTATGCGATTTGTTTTAAATCATTACGTGTTGGATGTTTGTCAGTGCAAACGTACTGTAAGAAAATTTGAAGAAAAATTGGGCCATGCCAATTTGTACACTAGTTTTACCATACTTACAATATTACCTATTAATAGAACATATCGGTGGACGCTTACATTCTAATACTTTATATATTATACACAATGCATAGGTACAAGTATAAATATGCACGTTATTTATTTCTTAAGCCGTGTAGTAGTGGCGTATGCGAATCCAGTACCCCTTATCAGCGATGGGCTATCACCGAATACAAGAGATGGCCAGCAGAATCTTCCCGATAACGACTAAAAATAATATCTTTTTTTAAGTGTTGCGTCAGGCAATGGAGTATTTTATCCCTTTATAGACGTTCTCACCGGTAGCAAAGCTCGCCTATGGTATAACGCTGAATGCACCCAAGATGAAAAGCGCAAGCTTGTAGTGTGACTATCTTGGAATGACATTCGAAACCGCAAAGCTACGGATACCAGCTCCAAGAAGAGAGCTTTCAACCACGCTGCCAAGTCCTACATAAAAGCGTTACGGAAAGCCAGTCTCAACCGCATTAAACAAATTGGCGCAAAACTTTCTGCCAAGTCATCTTGCCATAGCGATCGAGACAAACCTCTGTCGGCCTACACTGCCTCTGCTGATAAAACCGGATGGCACGTTAGCGAATATAGCTAAAGAGAAAGCGCATTTGTTTGCGCCCCTCTATGCATGTAATTCATGTCTGGACAGTGGTAATAATGTTCCACCTGAATTACCTCACTGCGGCACGTCTATGTCGGAGGTTCGTATCACAAACAAGAAGGTTCTTGAAAACTTTGCGGAGTCTAGACCTGAATAAAGCTAGTGGATCAAATGGTATACCAGCTCTAGTTCTAAAGGCTTTTGCACCTGAGTTGCCTCCTGTGCGAAGACGCTTGTTCCGCCTCTCATTTAGGACTGTAGTAGTGAGAAAATCTTGGAAGCTGGCCAACGTAGCTGCACGTTCGTGTTATAAAAAAAGGCAGCCGCGCCGACCCGACCAATTATCGGCCAATCTCAATTACCTCCATACTCTACAAGATTAACTCAGCGTTCGCAGTAAATTTCACAGTACGCGAGCAATCCGGGTTCTTTCCCCGCCGGCACAAATGAAATTGTTAATTGCAATTATAAGTACTAATTTACTACGTGCTCGGCGGTGAAGGAAAACATCGTGAGGAAACCTACATGTCAAAAAAATGTTATTTCGATTACATGCGAAGTCCGCCAACACGCATTGGGGCAGCGCGGTAGACACTTCCTTGCCCTAAGGCCGGTTTTAGAGCTCGACCGACCGCTCGGTCCGTGCCATCGGTCCTGACAATACGCATAACCGATCGTCAGTTTGTAGCGTTCAGAGCTCTCCTGATCAATGAAATGGGCCGGACTGGTACAGTCACAAACACGTACATGAAATAGACGCCTTTACAAATTGTTTAATTGTTTCTTACTATGTTCGTAAACGTATAAGGAACAGAAGACTTAGATATCAAGTTCATCTAATCGTCGCCCAAAGAGCACTTCAAGGGGAATTTACTACTTTATATTCATTATTGCGTGAAGATGAAGAAATTTTTATTACTTTAGAATGTCAATCAAAAGTTTTGATGAATTATCAGTGAAATTACAAGACAACTTAAAACATCCGCTACGCGTTCGGTGTCATATGCCATGTTTAATAAAAATTACTTAAATCACTAACACTACTTAATACCTATAAAATCATACAATATTATTAAAGTTTAGGTTCGATTTTCTTGACGATGATACACGCATCCGTACGGTCGGTGTAGCACTGAACGCGTCAATATGTTTCCATAGCGCGTCGGTCGACCGACGGTACGCATGTGGACGCGCTGAACCAACGGTCCTCGTACGCAGTGCGTATGCCGGTCGGTCGAGTACTGTAATGAGTTGTGAATTTAAATACAAAAGGCAAGCGTGACCGACGTACGCACCGACGGTCGGTCGAGCTCTAAAACCGGCCTAAAACCCTCTTAAAAATGAAAGAGTCCTGTGCCCAGCAGTAGGGCGTATATGCTGTAACTTTCTGCAAGATTATGGAACGTATATTAAACGCCCACCTCATGCTATACCTAGAACAGAATGACCTACTCAGTAACTGCCAGTACAGGTTTCACTGAAATCGGCCTGCCCAATCAAATCCAGTCTGAAAAAGAAGCTATGGTTGATATGGTGTATAATCTCAAAATACAGGCAGTCGACTAAAGGGGCGATGACAATCTTGTGAAATTCAACGTCTCTAAAATACAGGCGTGTCTCTTCAATGCAAAAAGAAGCCAGCTTACCGTGGCTCCTTTGCTTCCTTGGAATATACCGACCGCCTTCAGTTGTTTGAGATATCCTCAAACCTGAGATTCGAGCGGTCCATTGAGTTCAAGATCAAAGCAGTTGCAAGGAAGTTAAGAGTCCTTGCACAGGAGCAGCAGTTTTTCACGCCGGGGCAGCTGATAAAGCGCAAGTCTTGTCGTTCATGGAGTGTTGCTTGCCATATATGAGCTGGTGCTGCAAAATGCTACCTAGCAGCTTTAGACTCAGTGGGAACGTGCTAAAAGATTTGTAACTCGAGTTTGGTTAAAACCATCACTGGTTCACCAGCCTCGAACACAGGCGCAAATTAGCCAACCTTTCGGTTTTCAATAGGATGCATTCCGGACAGTGTAATAACTTAATTCCTCATCCTCCGATCCACTATCGGACAACCAGGCGCTCGGCCAATCTCCATCCGTTGTCGATTTACCACGCATTCGAACCAAACGGTTGGCTACATCGCTTGTCATGCGTATAGCAAAGGAATGGAATAAATTGCCAGCATCTGTCTTTCCATCCGATTACAGCCATCTTCGGCTACATCACCGCTTACCATCAGATGGAATATTAGTTAAAAACTAGCTTAGAATAGTAAAAAAGGCTCACGTAGCCGAGCGTGGCAGCTATGGCCAATATCTCTCAATGTAGACTGTAATGAATTATGAAAAACAAAATTATTTATTTAAGTAATAACTACGATAGATTTTTTTTAAACTGCCTAACAATTTACAGCTAGACAGATATTTCCCATGGCAGGAAATACCTGCCTTGATCGTCATGCATGTCAGATGAATTGATGATTGCAGTACCAGATAGTCAGTCTAGGGGTTTCACATCGGGCATATACGAGGAGGTATATTGCCATTTATTGGAGACCTATAAGATCTTTCTAGACTTTCCTGTATTGCCTGCTTGTTGACATCCGTGGAACAAAATATTGTTTTTTTCCTGTATGTGTCGTCATTAGAGTTATTCCCGGAACTGACACATAGTATGCCTTCTATAAATATTCTAAATTAATTCGTTAGATGACATTTTTATATTTACTATTAATTACACAAATTACTGTTAATTTTTCAGTAACGGAAAACGACGATAATATATTTAGTGAGACTGGAATAGAAGCGTGTCTAGAATTAGCCATCTTGTGTCCTGCGATAGCACGCACAGTGAGTAACATTTATCTTATATCTGTATTCTTAATGTAAATTTATTGTTTTTGAAGTTATTATATATTATATTATAGCAGGTATACGTCTCTTCCTATTAGATAAACGGTCTCACTCACACTATATGCGTTCACGTAACCTCTTACGCGCACGCCCTTAGCAGATTTCCCCTCGTCTGTCAAGGTCTTGTGCTATTCAAAACCTCCTGTCATTTTACATATTTATTTTAAAGCATTTACTAAAAAACATATCCAAATTTCAACTATACAGGAGAAAGTTTATTTAACCTCATCAACTATGCTCCTTTCAATTCACCTGTCACATACTTTTGCTCATTGCAATTGTCTGCCAAATTTCTAAGCTTACAGAAACAAGTTTATATACTCTATTTATTTTACAATTTAAATAATAAAGGAGCTGATGACGTGCAGGGCTGACGCCTGCCAGGTCATGGCTTTTGCCCTCAGCATCCTATAAATGCTAAGTTTACAAATTACCAACCTTACAAGAAGACTGTTACTCGGAGGGTTCACTAGTTCTCCAGCTATATTCAATTGGAGTTAATTTCAAATAAAAGTAGAAGCCTTATTTACTCGTATTTTCAAAAACTGCAATAACGGTCATTATTTATACATTTGAACTCAAGTTTAAAAGGCTATTTGAAAAATAACCCTGTATAATTTACTTGTTACCAATTTTCAAGGGATTATTAAAATTTTACTTGTTTGTATTTCGTGACTTTCTTTAAGAGATTTAACCCAACACCTTATCTAGCGACAGGATATTAAGGCGACTGCGACTACCTCGTTGGTCTAGTTGTTGTAGTAGTGCAACTGCTGATCACGAGGTCCTGGGTTCGAATCCAGGTCGGACCAAAAAAACAGTTATTGAGTTTTTCCGTCAAGAAATTCTCAGTAGCTGCCCAGAGTCAGGAAGTTGGCGGTGTCTCACCCCCGTGCCTCGGAAAGCACGTCAAGCCGTTGGTCCTGCACCTGATCTCTCTCCGGTCGTGTCGGTTTGGCCGTGCCATCGGATTATGAGAGTGAGGGAATAGAGAGTGCACCTGTGCTTGCGCATGCACTTGGGCACTATAATCCTGTCCTACGCCGATGGCTAGCCTCCGTTGAGGCAGGCCGCCGTGGCCGAAATTCGGTCTAGAGGAAATTAAAGCGAGAAATTACTACATTAAAGGGCTTTTAGCGCTCCCTTCTCCGTTTCATGCACATTTGTTTAGTACGAAGTAAGTGTGCGTCATTATGTGAAACTTTTTTTACTTAATATCAGGAAATAAAGAATTTAAATAATAATGAATAAGAATTTCATTTACTAATACTGCCTTCCATATCATCGAAAAATATGGTTATTGCTTAAAAATGTGAACTCTAACGTCAAAGTTTATTCCCAGCGCTTAAAATTATAATTTTACATCTCGATTAATAAAAAGTATTTAAAAATCCATGCGATTAAGAATTTATTTGAGTATTTTATGTATGCGCATTTTATTTTCGGACATATACTATTTTGAGGACTATTAATTCTAGAGCTTCAAAATCGTGTCTAAGGGTCAGCTCATACCGCGCCGTGACGCGATGCCACGCGGCGCGTAATTTTTAAGATATACGAAATATAACTTTATTTACTACACAAAAAGATACACATTTTATTGAGATCATTCTAAAATGTCCCGCGGCGTCGCGCTACGCCGCGCTTCGCCTCGAGATGCCTGCCGGAGCATCACAACGCAGTGGTGCTTCGTCTATATGCGCAGCGTGTAAGTGCGGTGCCAGCGACTTCACTATGTGCCTCGCAACGTCACGATGCGTGTCACGGCGGCGTGCTGCGTGGTGCGAAACCACTGATCTCTTCAAGCATCGTCGCATATCGGTGTGAACTGACTGTTAAATATGATATTTTTGTCCAACATAGCCTTAATAAATGCCTTCAAATTCTTCTTCTGACGTGCTGCAGTCGTTGGCCGTTGCCGCGACTCGTTCTGTATTGTGGTCACCAGTAAAAAAGTGTTTCTAATATAAAAAATATATAACACTATTTATATATTATTATTTTTAACAAGCTTTTTCAGTTTATTTTTAAATTTTCAAAAATGTATCCTGATCTCACATATTGCTGTTTGCAAGACATCTTGTGAAAATACTGGCAATGTGCGGTGGATCAAGCCGGCAACACATATTGGCCAAGGCTCAACCAACGCGAGCGTAGGCAAATTGATACAAGGCGAATGTTAGTCTACATGTTGGCCAAGTTTGAATGAGTGAACGTACTGACATTGCAGACTTAAATGTGGACACGTTTTGTCGAGTGCAGGCGAGCGCCTTTGATTTGTGCGGAATAACCGACACTGTTTCGAAGTGAGATGAGTCGTGGCGAGCGATCCCAAGTTGGCGCTCGCCCGCACTCTGGCAACTAGGTGAGCGACGGCGTACAATGGGCAGGCTAGACAAATGGGCTGTCTATACGTTGGTATTCGCCTTCGCTAGGCCACCATGTATACCCGGCTTAATAATATGGCGATGCTTGGTGATCGCAGGTGAACGGTGGCATCACGATATGCGTGGGCGGCGCGGGCGCGGGGAGGCGCGCAGCTGCCGCGCTCGCCGCCGCCGCGCTGCCCGCCGTACTGATGCACGTGTCGCGCGCGCACCGCCTCGCCGCGCACCTCGCCGCCGTACGTACACACTGCACTCTTTACAGTCGTATGTTTTGGATTTGCTTACCAGCACAGGGCGGCTCGCCCTCATACAATATGCAGATCGGGCTAGCGACTGATCCGAATCTGTATCCGAGATGTCGATCTCATCGAGTAATACTATTATAATGTCTATGTGTGTGTATGAAATTCGTAGTTTATTGTTTTAATAGTTATATGAGAAATTCGTGGTGACAGATGATTGTTTTTTTGTGCTTAGATTTGCCCCCGCAAAAAATTACAAACAGTTCTGTATCGGGAAAAACATAACGGCCATAGGCTCCGATCCTCCGGTGGCCCGTGTTACTCTATGGTTCCTGCCATAAACTGCCAAACTTGCGGAAAGTTCCCAAAGGAACTATAAACTTTACTGAACGTTACTTACTTTTAAAAAAAGATCTAAGTTTACCCTGAAGTCACGCCTAAAGAAATTTTACTTCAAAAACTTTCTATTGACTCTTTGGGCGTGGAAGGAAAAGGGGAGATCCCCCGCCGAGCAAGAGGAAATACGCTCAGTTTATTAGTACAGAGCTATTCTACGAATAGCGCAGTACTTCTGAACTTTGATAGCGTGATTTAAGCTTCAGTGTTACTTCTATGATTAAGCGGCAGTGAACCCAATGTTTTGTTCTAGTTGAAAGGTAGTGATATAAAAGCCATTATAATTACAAGCTGATGCAATGTTTCATTGCATCTTAGTCCTAATTGATGCCTGCCGCCGTTTTTATTTTTGTTGTTTACAGCTGTTCATTGGCTGCTGTAACCACGTAAATTAATATTATAATAAATAAATATACGTAGGAAAAATTGCCTAAATGTTTATCTACGTTAGATCTAGGCGATATAGAAGGAGTTCATAATGTAGTCTAAGATTTAAACTGTAATCGGTTTTACGAAAGATAATAAACACAAAAGGTAATCAGTTTCCCGCGAAAATATGCGAACTAATATACAAATTGAATTTTACAGCAAATGCCAAATTTCGGGAACACTGTGGCGCGGCGGCTAAAGAAATTCATTCAGTTAGGACTTTTCTGATACCCGAGACTATCTATAAACCACTTTTTGTTAAAAAAATGAATACTGTTTTCTGTTGGTTTTACTGGGTACTAAAAAATGACTTATGTTTATGTAATGAATGACAATTGCTACCGCATGTGCCGTACCAACCATGAACGTAGAACCTTTGGATTGGTTCTGCTTATAAAGGGCTGGCTTGCTCGATTTTGAAAAACACACTTAAAAGTTTAAATTTGGTGTATAAATATTGTCATATATTGGCAAAAGAAATTTCAATAATGTAATAGAATAATATATAGAAAGAACAATAGAATACAATAATTTTCAATCCATTTATTTGATGTATTATAGGAGTATGCACAGCAACATGATGTCAAAACAATGGTCTTATCAATCGAAATAGATTTATACATTATATATAAAAATATTTCATTTGTGTTTATCTAGGCTATAACTTCGGCTGCCGAATGTACACGAACGCTGATTTTAATTGAAGAATTAGCGATAGACAATGACTCCCTGGCGTGTATAGAGACTTTTTACCGAGCTCAGTCTCTACACGCCGTGCCAAAAAACATCTTGCCTTCTCTGTCACAATCGCCACAATCTCAACATCTGCTACAGAGTAAGGACTAAAATTTAATACTATAAAACATTAATAGCTAGTATAAGGGCGATTTTTGCCATAGTTTTCACGCTTGATACCGGGTTGGCAACTGCGACATGATTCATGTACTTGGCTTGTTATTTAATATTAACGACCTTGTGAAATAGAGGTATAATGACTCTGCCACACCATGCTCCTCGTGCTGCTCATCGCTCGGATCCTCCCGCTGCGGCGATATTGCCCTGTATGTCCACACACTGCTCTACTCGCGCAATTAATCGCGACACTCCGCACTAGGTCGCTCGAGTTTGCAACACAATGGATGTTGAAACTTGTATCGTGCGAGCTATGCATATTTATTATAGCTAATAATAAATAATGACATCGATATACAATGTCATAAAAAGAAATATACACTGTCGTCGTCGAGACAGCTTTTTCTCTGTATATTATTTACTTATGTGATAATATGCTTTTAAAATGTATATATTGTAACGTATTGTGAATAAAATCCTCTTTCAACGCTGGGCCACGACTTCGTTACTACTACCGAGACTCCTGGTAAGGTCTCCCTCAAATAACATTATTATGTATTCATAATAATGTTATTTCTATCTCGTATTGCGTTTATTTTGATTATTGGACTGTACCTTTTCATCTATGATATTTAAAAGAGTAAAACTTTCACGTTTCACCGTCCCTTGCAATGCAGGCGTTAGAAAGGTATAAAATTAAAATTTCCGTCGCCTGTACAATTTCAGATATAAAACAACATCTAGGCATCGTTATTCTGTTAGACAAAGATGAAGAAAAGTTGTCAGAGCTTATAGAAAAATATCCATTTCTATACAACGATGCTAATATTGTTTGGATTGAACAATGGTCGGAGGAGACTTTACGGCAAATGCCGCCATTAATCATACAGAGGTATTTAAACTTCACACGGCACTTGTGTGATATTTGCACCGAAGTTGTACAAGTTAATTAGATATTTAAAATATGCACATTTGCGGACACCATTAGTTAAATTTTTACTACCACAAGTTAATTAACTTAATATACCCGACTTTTTAAATAATATTTAATTAGAACTAAAAATCCTAAATTATTATTCATAACGTATCCTACATATCACATGAAGCTTTTATGTAGGTTAGGCGTTAAGCGTATGTTTGTAGTAATTTTTTGAAGTGAAAACTTCTTTAGCGACGTTGTACACTTCTTTTGTAATGGGTAAAGATTGTTAAGCTCGCGTCAGGACACGTGACCCTGATCGAAAGTGCGTAAGACGCACGGCGTAGGAGAGGAAGTATCCCTCTCTCTTTCTACGGTGCGGCGAAAATGTATGCCTGCGCCTGCTGTTTCGTTTAGGCGGCGCTGGGGCTTGCGATAGAAATAGAAACTTTTTTATTAATGTAGATTATATATTATTGAAAGTTTTTTTTTGTAATATAAATTGTCATGTTTGTGTACGATAGCGCAATAAATAAATATTGTATTCTACCACATAAATGATAGTACTTTTATACTGATAATTAAAGTAATTCGTGCAAAATTATTCTCTAACCATTCCAAAATATCAAAAATGCACAACGTTAATATTCAAGTTTTCACTTCTGCCGGCACTCCCGGAGTGCAACCCGTCGTTTTTTTTACTATGTTTGTTACTTTTTATTTGTTTTTAGGCTAATAAAAGAAGACGCATCGGATGTTTCAAAGGAAGACATCGACACAGTCCCAGTTGAAGGATTCGTCAACATATATAAGAGCATCGACGCGGAATGGTTGCGAGCGCCTTGCAGATACGTAAATTTCGTTAAATCCTACTATTTTATACTCAGCAAAAAGAAGACCGAGCTCGTGCAGAGGAAAAATATTTTATCGGTTTGTAATCGGTTTACTTAATGAAAATCGAATACTTTATAATTTCAAATATATTAATGGTTTTATCTTGCTGTAGGCCGGCGTGGAAGCGTTACGACGCGCTAGGAGTGAAGTTGCTACATTACAAGACGAAGCAGCTAAGCAGGAAGTAGCACTATCTGAAAAACAGGCGGCCGCAAATAACGCACTCGACCAGATCGGAGCAACCGTCCGTGCAACCACTGATAAAAAGGATGAAATGCACGCCTTGAAGAAGAACATAGAGATTGAGAATGAGAAGCTACAGATAAGGTATATATGATATTTGGTTGTCACACATGAAACATATACAAGGCTTGCTTAACTTAAGACTACAATGAAGTTTATCAATGTTAGATATTTTATTAAAAAAATTACATCTGCATAAGAATTTTCCTTTGTATTGTGGATGTGTCTACAAACATAATTTGCACGTGGATAAACCCCAAACCCGAAAAATTAATAGGTTAGTAGTACATTCAAGCTCTTGTTTTCGGGATTCGAACCTGCGGTCACATGCAACAAACGCATAGCTACTGCGCTACCAAGTCGTCGAAATTTTTAACAATAAATTGGTGAAGAATACTATGATCTTTTATTTTCATAAATTTTTCAATTTTAACAATTTATACAAAGTAGCAAGTCAGGGTCACAAACTGTGTATGGAATATAATATAGGCATATACAATAGAATAACCAATGCGTTTATAAACTTAACATTTTATTCTGTTTCTGATATTCACTAGTAACTACTGATGACTTTGTGTTTCGAAACAGAAAAAAGGAAATTGAAGCTGAATTAGCGTCAGTGGAACCAGTGATTAAGGCCGCACAAGCAGCCGTTGGGGAGATACGGCCAGAGGCGCTCAGTGAGGTAATTTAATATCAGTAGTATACTGAATCTGATTAATGTTTATTTTGTTTTGTTTAAAAACTTAAATAACACCTTAAAGTAAAGGGCGGACATATGGCGGACTTAATGCCATGTGGCATTCTCTGTCAGTCAACCCTGAGTGTAAAAGGACAATTTTTGTTGGCGGGATGTATATATTCATAGTACATACATACACAACTCATATTTAAATATACATACATATAGTATTTAAAGTTTTTTTTTTTCCCATATATTTATATTTATAATGTTCTGCCCGTAATTATAATATTTACCTTAAAATTGTATCCATTTGTAACTCTTGGCAATGGAAAAGTATTTGATGGGCTTGCCAATTTTGTGATCTATCGGGTGCCGTTAATAAGTTTTTGATTATTGGTATTCTTCATCAGCCTGTTACAGTAACATTTCTCTTATGACTGTGACACTAACAAGCTGTGATGTGATTAAGAGAAATATTCACTGGTATTTAATGTTCCGACTTGAAATATGGTTAAAGATTTTTACCCTAAAAAAAGATTTTAAGCAATTGCAAGATAATATAAGTATATTTGCTTGAATTAAACAAGCGAAAATAAAAAATAAATGTATTTTATTACTACCAGTAGTGTGAAGTAAGGAATTTTTATTATTTATTTTAGATCCGGTCACTGCGGGCACCACCAGACGTAGTACGAGATGTTCTTGAAGGGGTGCTAAGGCTCATGGGTATTGCAGATACTTCGTGGCATTCTATGAAGAACTTCCTTTCTAAGCGTGGCGTCAAGGAGGATATAAGGTTGGATTTCAGATTGTACACTCTTTCATGATGACTTAAAAAAAACTTAACAAACCTGATTGGACGTTTTAAATAACTTCTTTTGGTCAATAATTTACGTACATGTTATTTCACTCATGTTTGGATCCCATGTAAAATATATTTTGTGTCACATATCATCCCATGTAAAAACTGCGTTCGAAGTTTTTTGACCATGTGATTTAATCAATAATTAAGTATGCTATTGAAGAAGATAAGGATATAAATATACCAAAAAAGGGCGTAAAATAATTCACTTCTCCATATCAGCCCTTGGATTTCGTAAGAGATGACCGAGGGTAATTAAACAGGATCAGAAGCATCTTTCAGATAACAATTTAAAAAAATGCGTTTGCCAACCCGCCTGCCGAGCATGGCAACTATGGCAAATATTTTTGAGACAATTTATGTGGGAAGCCTATGCTGTACAGTGGACTTTTGATAGGATTTATAATCATCATCATCCTTACAGCCCTTCACAAGTCCACAGCTGAACTAAAAAGCTGCAAGAAATTTTAAATCACGGACCTCTTCAAGTTTAGGAAGAACGACTATGATGCATAATACCTACCTACGTATAATGGTATTTATGTTGCAACATGAAATAACATTTTTTACGTTGGCGTCAAAGGTGTTAATTTTATGTTATTTTATTGTTTGTTTTTGAAAGGAAATAAATCAATTTTGTATATAAGACATTGATTTATAAGGATTATAATATCGTCTGCACGCCATCTAGAGTGCCAATTTCTAAACTATGCTTATGGCGCTTTTGCTTGTCAAAGTTGTCAATAGTCACTCACACTACTAAAAGATGTGTCAAAATTTTCCTAGATTTCACTATTATTTTTCTTATTTTTTTTTTTTTTTTTTTTTTGTTTTTTGATTTTTTTTTTTTTAAAAATTTTGGGGTTTTAAAATAAAAATAATCCAACCTTTCGGGGTTTCTCTGTTTTGGCACCGGCTTCTCCTTTGTTGGCAACACGCTTTCATACCCATATACTGTATGTTCTTTCCTATAAAGGTCAACACACATTTCAGTGTAGAAAAGGGGTAAAATAATTAGTTTTAAACAAATAGTGGCTGTGTTTAGCGTTATGGTCGAGACAAAAATGTATGGGCGGGCTATCGGAGCATCCACCTTAAGTCTAATAAATTTTCTAAATTGAAAACATAATTAAAAAATCAAATGCCGAGTGCCTTCTTCATAAGATTACACCAAATTTACATATTTACGTTTCACTATAAGCAATTTTCAGTGAAATTTATTTTTATCCTAATTAATTCAAAACTCATTTCCGACATCCAAATAGTGTAAAGGTTCAAGCTTAAACCTGACATGCCTCTCAAACTAAAAACATAATTAAGGTCTAGTACCGGACGTCTATATCCAACCCATGATCTCGGCTCTGGGTGGCGTTCATATCAGAAATTGCATTGCAGGTGCCTTGATGCGAGTCAGATCAGTGACGAAGCGGTGCAATCAGTACAGAAGCTGCTGGAGCGGCGCGGCGCGTCGTTCGAGCCGGCGACGGCGCGGCGCGCCAGCGCGGCGTGCGCACCGCTGGCTGCCTGGGTGCGCGCCAACCTGCACTATGCGGCCGCCCTGGCGCGCGTGCAGCCGCTGCAGCACCAGCAGGCCCGCTTGCACAAGTACACGCCCTCATATCTCTGACTCTCAACGTACGCGCCGCTGGCCGCCTGGGTGCGCGCCAACCTGCACTACGCGGCTGCACTAGCGCGCGTTCAGCCGCTGCAGCGCCAGCAGGCCTTCTTGCATAAGTACACGCCCTCATATCTCTGACTCTCAACGTGCGCGCCGCTGGCCGCCTGGGTGCGCGCCAACCTGCACTACGCGGCTGCCCTGGCGCGCGTGCAGCCGCTGCAGCACCAGCAGGCCGGCTTGCCCAAGTACACGCCCTCATATCTCTGACACTCAACGTACGCGCCGCGCTGGCCGCCTGGGTGCGCGCCAACCTGCACTACGCGGCTGCCCTGGCGCGCGTGCAGCCGCTGCAGCACCAGCAGGCCTTCTTGCATAAGTACACGCCATCATATCTCTGACTCTCAACGTACGTGCCGCTGGCCGCCTGGGTGTGCGCCAACCTGCACTACGCGGCTGCCCTAGCGCGCGTGCAGCCGCTGCAGCACCAGCAGGCCCGCTTGCACAAGTACACGCCCCACTCGTAAAGACACGTGACGATCACATGACTTTACGTTGAGATATGTCGCTCCAGTCATCTTTAAGTGTTCTATTGGCATTAACGATTGTAGAAAGTGTACTTGACTAACCCCTGTACTGCATACGCTGAACTCGGAACGTTTTGTAATGTACTGACAATGCACTGACACTTCACTTAACTATGTTCGCGACCTGCCTCGCAGATCGATCTATTTCAATTTATATTGTAGCTTATTTCTAGCCTGAAGGACCTAAATTTTGGAATTTTTGAGGAGATTCCTACTTGCTGAATAAACACAGAAAAGTAAAAATCAAAATGAAGCATAATTTAGTTGATCTATTACAATTCTATATCTATAAACATTGAATAACTTTTAAAAAAATCAAATTATAAAGGAAAAATGTTTTTACAGTATCTTATTGAAAAAAATTCTATAAATTATTTTACGTTTCGAAATAGAAACCTACAAGAAGCGGAGGCCGAATTGAGCGCACTATCAAGCGGACTTAACACAGTGGAGGAGAGGGTAGCGTCGCTCAAGGCACAACTTGGCGAACACAGCCGTGACGCTGCAACCCTAGAGCTCAAGCTGACGGAAGCGAAGCGAACTTTAGAAGCAGCACAGAACCTTTTGGATCAATTAGCGAATGAATACGATGCTTGGGAACTCGATGTAAGTTTTAAAGAAGTTTTGATGTAAGCTTTAGAATAAATAGGTTCCAAAATAAAATTGATCTAGAGTTCATTATCTTTAGGCATCTTCCATAAATATTGGACCATCAACATCCATGGCCTTCTTACTTGTCACATCAGGTCGCCACTCCATTAAGTGGAAGCCGGTACAAGGCTGTCACTAGAGAACAATAAAGAATATAGGTCACTTTCAGTTTAACTTACAAAATCAAACCGGAACGTAATACACGGCCTTTCGTGCGTGCGTGCTTGCGTGAGTGTGTAGACGCGTGTGATTATACCCTCACGCACGTGTGGATGAGTGTTTGAGTGTGATAAAAAAGTGCCGGTCTCTTAACTACTGATGTTTTGAAACAATAAATTATAATTGACTTAATTAAAAAATACCTTATTTCAGCTAAAACACATATCTAAAGAAATATTAGAGGTTAACGTGAGATCGTTGTTGGCTGCCGCTTACATAGTTTATCTTCCTGACTTGACGGAGCCGCAGGCGAGGTAAGATCTTAGAGATTTATCGATTTCTCATTGATTAGTTAGACATAATCATTTTTTCTGTGTTTTTATCTGTTTTGTTTTTCTTGCCTGTTTTATTTACTTATCATTTAGTTTGATTTTATTGCAAATATCCTAAAAATATTTTTGAAATTATACTTGTTTGTGATTCTATTTTGATTACCCCTCCTATATTTTGAAACAAAAATAAACAGAAGGTTAAATTTATTAAAACTCTTAAAGGCACGGAAAACGAAATCCGCAACGCTACTAGTTCCTTATTTATGAACTCATAAAATTTTTATTTCATTGCTTGAATCATTTTAACCTGCTCAAAAAGAAGGAGAAATTTTCAATTTTACTGGTGTTTTGTTTACTTTGTATTGGTTTAAATAACACGGTTAACCGATATAGAAGTTTTATATTTCATCTACGTGTATTCTTTCACTCATATACATTTAAACTAGATGATTTGAAGGCGCTATATATTTTTAAATGCAATGAGCATTTTCATAAACTTTCCAAAAATAAATATTTTGTGCTTGATTTTTTTTTTAGAAACTACTTACGCAAATGGAGTGCACTCATAGAATTTGAAGACGAGTCGTTTTCTGTAATAAATTTTCTATCGACGCCAGAGAAACAACTTAAATGGGAAACTGAAGGACTACCAATGGATCAGACTGCTGTCAAAAATGCTGTAATTATCGAACAGGTAAAATTCAATGTTGTATACATGGGAGCTATGGAATCGTATAACTCAGTCGTCAATAGCTTGGTCCTGTGTTCAGAGACAGGTGTAGACAGTAATTTTGAGTCACAAATCCAAAGATGTATTGAAACAATTATGATAAATATTTAATCAAAGATTACACCTCGTGTAAGATGTAAGTAAATGAAAATTATTTCGGCCGATAACTGACCACAAAAACTATGTACATAACTCTACACAATTTAAACAGTCTAAATTGTTATTCATAATGAAGATTAACGATAGTAACTCAAAACGAACGCGACCCTTGGATTTCACTAATTGAACAGATCTGGTTTTGGTATAGGTTGGTAAATTATTCACCTAATATGTTTATGTACGAGTATATACCTCGTTTAATACATACCTTATGATTAATAAATAGTTAGTAAAGTCTCTAAGCTGTCGATGACATCAACAATGCGTGTACAATGTAGTTTTTCATATCTATGATACCGCATTCAATAGGAGTAGCGCAGCAGGTACCTAGTCATTAAATTAACAGACAGTAATAGATAAAACTCACTGCATTTTTTAACGAATTTCAGTTCCCAGAATGTTAATAATATTTGAAATTTATTCTGATTGATCTGATTGATACTTCTCGAAGCCATCTTCCATAATTTATACATCCTAATACCTTTGGGTGACTTAAAGTTTCCTCATAGGGATAGCAGTGAAGGACCACCTTTCAGTTCCGTAAGTCATCACTTGCAACACGCACTGGTTGTACATTTTCGTCTTAAGATGTTTAAGAATATCAGTCAAAAAGATTTTTGGAGGTATTCTCAGTATTTTATTTTCAAGTATTCTTACGAGAAAGACTAATGGAAATGTTCTTCAAAATTCTTGCGTTTATTTTTAATTTGATTTATTTGAAATTAATTAGAAGGTACCTATGAGCTGCAGTGGCCACGTATAATCGAGTGAATTGCTACCTCGTTAGCCACATTAATGCTGCAAAAGCTGATCATGATTATTTATATTATAGGCACTGGAGACGAACAAATGCGGCTTCACACCGTTAATCATTGATCCCGACGTAGAAGCATGGCTAAAAAAATCCAAGTAGTCTTACCAAATAGTCTTTTTAATAAAACTACTGGGAACTTTCTTGATGATGAATATTTGATCAATACCTACTTTAATAGTTTATTTTAGCAATAGTATTAGACAAGCATAAACTCCGGTAGTAAGATATTTTTCACTTGCGTAATAAACTGTTTATACATAAACTTGATTGAACATTCGTCCAATACTCTCACTCTAACAGTATTCCCATGTCCTCGAAATATTTTATTCGTCAGACTTGCATCAGTATAATACGTTCCTTTACCGTCGAGCACATAATAAATAAGCACATAAAGTTGCAATTGATAATTTCATTCGTGTCGGCTTGGACAGAACGCGCATTGCTCGCGTACTTTTTTTATAGAATAGGGTGACAAACGAGCACACAGTCCACCTGATGGTAAGTGGTTGCTGTGGCCCTTAGACATCTACATCTATCCCCGATCAATCAAATCGAATCAAAATGCAGATGCGTTGTCACCCGTGAGGACTAAGATGGAATGCCTCGTTTCCAGTAAAAAGGGTCTCCGGTTCTCTACACTCACCATACGAAACACAGCAGCATTAAGCTACTATTTGACGCTGGTATTCATTCAAAATTTACTACGAGCGCTGGGCTCTATAGCTACCACGGCTGTAAGCTAGCAGGTCCGATCCGATAAAATGTACTTAAGTACTGTATGCGTAATGTTGGTATTCTTAAAATTGTGTAATTTTTTTCGAAATAAAGCTCTTGAGATTTATTCAGACTTTACACTATGTAAATGGATATTAATTTTTATATTTGATACCAATTTCGAAAAATTCACCGTGCTCTCATTGCGCGGATGTTACAAAAGAATTCCCATTCTCTAACATCCAGGAGAAATATCTGAAATATTCTAAGGGTGCCGACTGAAGGCAAAATAACTCGAAATTTGGCTAGATACACATATCTAGATTTGTTATAATAAACAGCATGTAGAGTATGTAACAGGAAAGATAGTTGTTAGTACTGTCATCGCTATCAAACATAACGATCGAGACCGATATCAGATATACACATATATATATTAGTGGGCTGTATATTCGCTGTTCTGAGACAAGATTTCTAAAAGGCAGGGTAACATTTCGGCCTAGGTCTAGGTCCGTGTGAGTTCGTATTATTCATCTATTTAAACCACCAAGCAGCAATGAATTGTTGTGTTCCAGTTAAGAATACATGAACCCTATATAGTACCACTATAAGGTATTCCTTCTTAGTTCTTAGGAGTGACCACGGCTCTTTTTTCTTTATTCTTTTTATTTAAAATCAATTAGCAGGTATCTATGAGCTGCAGTGACTACGTATCAAGTGAATTGCTAGCTCGTTAGCCACATTAATCTTGCAAAAAAACTGATCATGATTATTTATATTATAGGCCCTGGCGACAAACAAATGCGGCTTCACACCGTTAATCATTGATCCTGATGGGGAAGCTGAAACATGGCTCAGGAATACTTTATCCAACACGCAGTGTGAATTTGTCCCGCAACACAGTGAAAAGTTGACCACTGCCATGCAATTTGCCATACGGTTAGTAAAATTTGTTATTTTCTTCATTTTGACGCCTATTTATTTATGCTAATGTAAAAACAATTCCATCAGTAAAGTACCTATCGGGATAACCCTAATAATAAATAAAGCGTATCAGTCAGTAAGGCCAAAACAATAAGTGAGTAACTACTTTTAGTTACGTTACGTACGTAAAGGACATTAGGTAAGATAAATGATTCATATTTTGTTTTACGTTTTTTAGCATGGCACAAGGTGAACTTTCATTTGTTTATATTGGTTCTAATTAAACCCGACCAAATTTGGTAATACTTTACGAAATATTTTTTTTACGTCCAATGGGGCCCATATACGGTACGATCCGTCTGTTCAGACTGATTGAAATGACGGATCTGTAGTTACGATCGTTAACGATTCACTTGATCGCAGGCGACATCGGAAATCGCAATAAAAACCCAGGCAATCTTCAATATCGTAACAATGAATAAACGTCGGTTCCGTCATTCCGTTCAGTTTTTTGTGTGGAACCACAATTCCTTTAAAATATTTATATGCGAATATTAATGTCGATTTAATAGTCACACTTTTCTTTTTCTTAGTTTATGTAGCCAGATTAAATTTAAAGCCAAATAGGCATAGAAAATATGCTCATTTTCCATTTCAAAAATTGACACCTAATTAATTATTCAGATTTTATGTCCGTGATAGCACATCGTTGTCATTCCGTATCAAACAAGTAAATTATTGAGCTTTGAGCGATTTATCATCACGATGTCCTTTCAGATTGATCGTAACGACGGATCGTTCCGTATATGGGGCCCATTAGTCATTCACGTTTCCTTACGATATTTTTTTTTCGAACTAAATAAATCGACAGCTAAAGATGCAATTAATTATACATAGTAGAGCCACGCCGTAGCTACATTATGGTTGTAGCTCGAGGGGGTCGGCTCAACCGGGGGAGGACGACATTCTTACAGAATACCAGGGTAAAATAGCAACTTAATACTGCTGTGTTTCGTATGGTGAGTGTAGAGATCCGGAAACTTTTTTTTGGAAACGAGGCATTCCGTTTTAGTTCTCACGTGTAATAACGCATCTGCATTTTGTTTTTTAATCGAAGATGAAATGTAGATGTCTATGGGCCACAGCATCCACTTACCATCAGGTGGACTCGTTTGTCTCCCTTATTCTATAAAAAAATTCATTGGTACTAGGAGAGTTCAAGCCCTCGTTGGCACGCGTACTATGAAACTTACAATGAGCGTTTAATGCCTGAGTTACCACGACCCCCATTTGTGCTGAAGCTATAATCCTCTGCAGCGAGGCTCTACCACGTAAAATTTTATTTGACTTCACGTCGTGTATGATGCTACCTTAAATTATAACTTACTTAAGTGTTTGATTCGGCTTAACATTTACGGTTTTTTCTCTAGAACAGGGATCGGCAACCTTATCCGGCCTAATGGCTCATTCTAAAAATAATTTACTCCTGAATGGCGGCGCATGAATGGTTAACGCAAATAAAATATTACATATAGACAACACAAGATGTATATTACATGAGACATACATACAGTCAAATACATGTCACTAGTTATTACAACAATTATTCAATTATTATTAATGTGATCCTTAGCCTTTCATTTCTTCCAACAACTTGATGAAATCTGACTCATAATTGGAAGTATCAATCCTCATATAATGCAATGGCCCAAATTTATATATGTTTTTCTGCTTTTATATTTTGTTTTTAAGGGCCTATACTACCTCAAATGACTTAGCAAGATCCTCCGTTATGCCGAAAATATTGCAGCAGTAATTTTGAAATAAATATATGGTATAGTTGAGGATTAATATTAAGTACTATGTTAGAGGAAAATACGATTCCGTAAAATTTTCTCGATAGATAAAAAATCCAAAGTTACCTCCAAACCGAACAATAAACATGAAACTGCATACTAACTGAACTTACTACAAAGCCGGGCTTATGTTTTTTTTATTACCATTATTTTCACTGTAAAACATATAACATAACATAAACACTCACGCCTGTCACCCAGAGGGGTAGGCAGAGACTACAGACTTCCATTTGGCACGATCCTGACACACCTCTCTCGCCTCCTTCACATCCATACACCTACGCATACATGCTCGTCGGTTAAGGGTACTCCTAATTTGGCCCGTTTTCAATAAATTGCCAATTTGGTCGATAAATTTTCGCCTAGGACGTCCCTTTCCGACTCTGCCATTCACTTCTGCAACATAAATTTTCTTTGTCACTCTTTCCTCATTCATTCTTTCCACATGACCAAACCACCGAAGCATTCCTTTCTTAATCCTGGTCACAACATCATCTTGCAAACCACACTCTTCTCTTATTACACAATTTCTTACCCTGTCGTTCAGATTCAGCCCTAACATACTCCTTAACGACCGAATTTCTACTGCGTTGATTCTACTCTCGTGCTTCTTCTGCCACACCCAACTTTCACTACCATACGTTAAAGTAGGGACCAACACAGCATTGTGAATTGCCATACGTGCCTTTTTTGACACATTTTGACTCTTCACAATAGAGTGCAGGGCCCCATTTACTCTATTTCCCTGTAATTTTTTAATTTCATTGTAAAAATAAATTTCCTAAACTATCGGCGTCCTGAAGCTTGTTCTCTACTGCCCGATAACCCTGCTCAGTCTCGCTTCGGCTTTCGAACGGGAAAGCTGCGTCGCTTACGATCAGAATACACATTACGCAACAGGACGACGCGACGTAAAATTAAAATGAGAAACAACCGCAATAAAAATAAGAAGCGACTGGGGTAGCGTGAAGAAACAGGCATAAATATAATAAACCTAATAAAATAAGTATCTAATGACTTATCTACTTACAGTATTAGTGATTACAAATATTTCGGTAGATAGCATACGACGCACAGGGAAGTGGGTGTGAAATTAGAATTTCAGCTGAAGTAGTATAGGCCGTTAAGTGCTTCATTGTTGAAAGTATGGATTCGCATGCGTACGTTAATGCACTATACGCGTGTATTTATATATGTATGCATGTAGTGCTCTTAATATTGGATATTTATTTTCATCAAAAATATTCTAAAAGTTTTGTTTGATTTCAGGCTCAAGTTGTTCTTCATGGTTATTATTTCCAGATCTAATTCATCGTAATTTTCTATCGTTAAATAGTTTTTGATCGGTTCTTTTGGGAGTAAATTCGTCCAAAAGTGTATCTAATTCCGATGCAAACGAAATATTATCAATATCTTTTTCACAAAAAAAGTTCAATCACATGAAGGTATCATGTGATTGAACTTTTTTTAATTTGGGAAGTGTTAAGTAGAATTTCTTAGTAAAAGAGATTTCCATAGATTCAGTTTCGCTTTTAATGTATTCACCGATCCAACCATTTTCGCAACATGACGATTTTTCCTTGCATTTCCAGGTTGAGTTCATTCAGTTTGATTGTTATATCAGTGAGAAACCCCAAATATGCAAACCATGAGGGATCAGTTAACTGCGGATCATCTTCCTTTCTCGTCGCCATAAACTGTTTGATTTCGTTTATTAAACTGAGAAAGCGTACAAGCACTTTGCCTCTACTTAGCCATCGGACTTCCGTATGCAATATCAAGTCCTCGTACTCAGCATCTTCATCTTCTAAAAGCTGCCGAAACAAACGGTGCTGCGTTACCGCAGTCCCAATAGAGTTAACTATCTTTACGACAATTTTCATAAAGTGTTCAAAATGAAGAATTTTGGCATACAACGCCTCTTGGTGTATAATGCAGTGGTAATGAGTGAATTGAGGAAACACGTCATTTGCCATACACAGCGCAACGAAGCCATTTTTGGTTTCAGGTACACCACCAGTAACTATGGCAGCTAAAATTTTTAATAGTAACTAACTTTATCGTATCGCACGTATCGGAGAAGGGAGCGTTGAAAACAGGGGTTGAAAGCGGTAAAGGTATAAGGGTATGGTACCGGTATAGAATTCCGATACAGCTTCGATTTAAAGGTAGAACCAAAACGGTTGAAAATTACGGTTGTGGTACCGTTAAAAAAAAGAATTATACCTATATTTTTTTACGGTATCGTTATACCTATATTTTACTAATACCTTTACCGAAATAATTTCGGTACCGAAAAAAATGAGTATTTTAGGCTTATTTATATGTATTGTGTCTCGGACCTTGCTTAACGTTATGAGACTCATTCGATTTGGATTTCCTATGTTACTGTATTTCATGTTCGGAGAAAATAAAACATCTTTATCATATTTGTATTATTATTTATTATCAGTAAAGTATTTAATTAAAAACGTAATATTATGTTTAACATGTGGGTACCAATTCTTAACCTAGCTCTTCAGAATCAGTTAAAGGAACATCTTTAAAGTGCTTCCCTTCCAAGGGATGTAGGAATACTAATATTTTTGAGTACACACGGGCTCGCATATAAGTTTTTATATTTTGCATCCGTTTTTTATAACATTTGCCGGCCCTGAGAGCGATCGAATAAAGAACGCTAAGCTAAAAATTACTGCTGTGTAGTGGCGGTTAAGAATATCTACTACCACATATCTTCCCGTGGGTGTCGTTAAAGGCGACAGAGGGAGACAGGCAGGAGATGGGCAGCAGCATCTTCCTTATAAAATCAATTGTACAACAAAAAAAAAAACTGCAGTTGCCAACCCGCTCGTAAAGCGTGGCAACTATGGAAATACCCCCTACGAGCAACGACACAAGTAAACGGCCCCCAGTTCCACGGCGGCCGCGCTATTCCTGGCTAGGTGGCGACCATGGTAAAGGCGGGAGAGGGGTGCTAAGAATCTCCGGTGAAGGGGTCGATTGCCACCTAAGACGATTCGACTTGGCAACAAACAACGGACGCACCCTGAGGACTACCAAGAAGATCCTGGAGCTGGAAGAAGAGATAGACAAGTAGCGCTTGAATATTAAAGGATCATCCGCGGTCCGAAGAGAGGAGGAGGACACGGTGATTCTTGA